TAATACGTAGTAACTTTCATACAACATGCATAATTTTTTTTTTCTACTTGTTTAACATAAATAATAAGTACAAATTCACTCTACTTTATAAATATATATATTTTCATTTTTATATTTATAATACCAAGCCTTTGTAATAAAAGTCGGTGCTCCATATTTATAAAGAGTTTTTGTAAAGTGCATAAAAAGTCATGAATAACCGTCTTTTCTTTTGTGATGCTCGGCATAGAAACTCAGAATCGGGTAAGAAAAAAATATCACGAAACTTTGGAATATTTAAAGAAAATACTCGTAAAAAAAAAAAAATATTATATTGTATTATATTAAATGTAATAGCAAGTGCGTATGTAAGTAAAGTACAAAGGTAAGTAACTCCTCCTTCTTCCTTGAAAATTTTTAATTTGCTGCGGTTAGCCTTGCGGTTATCGTACAAAAAGTGTTATTGCAGTAACAAAGTGTATCGGCAAAAAGCAAAAGGTACAATAAAGTCGAATTATTTATAAATTTCGTGAGAACATATGCCCGAGTGTTTTATCAAGTTATTTTGGTGTGGTTGCTCCGAAAAGGGTTAGATGAGCACAAGGAGGAGAAAGTCACCACTTTATTACCCGGTGTATTGTCTAAATAATAATAACAACAACAATAATAATAAACAAAGAGACTCGTACTCTTTCATTCATTATTTTTCGTTTATTCTCTCGAGAGCTGTACAGAGGACCAAAAATATAAATATAACAGAGTTTAATTTAAGGAGAGATGGAGAGAAAAATCCGAGGGATGCTCAAGAACAACTCAAGAGAATAAACTAACACATCTCGGTGCCATGTGTCGCTGCCAGTAACTTTCTCAGCGCAAAATAGAAAAATAAAGATCGAGTTTAAGCGATGTGAAATATTAACTCGTGGGTACGTTGATAAATTTGTTTTTCTTTTATCGCCGCCTGCTTTGTAGAATAAAATAAAATAAAATAAAATTATGTGATATGATACGATAGAGTGAGGATCTTTTGATGCAAATAATGTCAAGTGAGCATTTACATCAAGTTTAATCTTTAATACTTGCTCTGTAGTATAAAAAATAAAGCAACTGTACGGGTATGGGTCCGCGTTTAGTTTTTAAGAGACGTCTGGCGACAGAGACACTCATCGCAGCTTCCGGTAGCCAGAGACGAGAGACGAAAGACGAAAGACGTGATTACGATACAGAATATATTTAATAAATACGAATCGAGAGTTATTATTCGTGTTGTGAGGGAGAAAAATCGAGAACAAGTAGCCAGTTAAATAATGTTGTTACATATACATTCAAATAACCAACTACAACTAGGCACATCCTCATAATGGAACCGCGTATCAACTGGTTGCTGCTATAATAACTAATAAACACCAGCGTGCTTAATTCTTTTGTACATTTATTTATTTTATTGATATTATGATGGGTTAATAAAAAAGGACCGAGACTTTGGGTTATTTGTTACCATTTTACCCTGACATTTACCGCGTTACACGTCGACGTGACATAAGTCGGTCATCGCCATTTGCATGAGTGAACTAACTTGCAAATAATGTCAACGTACGAGCGTGTAAATGGGATAGAAAGTAAAAAGTAACAAGATTAGTTAAGTATGGACATATATATACCGTAAAGATGAATAAAATATAACACACACTATACATACACCTACGTATATACAATAAGAAACCACGTGGCGGCCAGCACAGGAAATGAGGACGTCCGTACTCGTATCTTCCGGACACTGAACTCAATAATTCGAAAAAAATATCTACTGATTAAAAAATTAATTTTTTAAAATTTGAATTAAGAAAATTATTTTTAATAAAGTTGAGGAAAATTTTATTAAGATGTGTGTATTTTTTGACTAGAGTGAACTGGTCAAGGACGCGTTTAATACCGAGGTCTACTTGGCGAGTTGAGAAAATCTAGACATGATCGATACCACGAGTAGAGTATGCGCTTCATTACTCGGTAAATACACAATATTATGTCAATACAATCATCGGGGTTGTTAATTAATTAATTATTAGCTGTTACATAATACATAAAAGATAAAACCCCTGGACTATGACTATAACACATAATACCTGTTAATTCAAATGGACTGCTCGCAGAGCTAGTAGTATAAGTAATACCACGCCAAGAGAACTGAGTAAGTAATTAATTTTTTTATTGATGCCGACTAAGTGATTGATACCAACCATCATCTCTATAAATGATGAATAATATATATTATAGATATCTGGGTGGTTTATTAGTTTAGCGCTTACCGATGATATTATTATACTATGAATTTATGAATAAAAAACTTGGATCTGTAGTATATGTATAGTAGATCCTAAATAAAAGTGACGAGCTATTTTTCAAGTATGAGAAGCCAAAGCGAACCGATATATATATATATATATATATATATATATATATATATA